CCAACAGAGACATAAGCATTTCTTCAATTTACTAGACTATTCCAATTCCAGAAGCACTATAATAAACCTGAACTGGGAAACTCTTCAAGTGTCTATAAACAGCAAGATATATTAACCGAAGTAGTCACATAATGAAACAACATAAAATGGAGTACACACCAGCACTGTGACACAGTGAGTTAAACTGCTACCTGCAACACCCATCCCATATGAACGCCAGTTCAAGCCCTAGCTGTTCCAGTTCTGATTTAACTCCCTGGTAGTATGGCTGGGAAAGCAGCAGGATATATGATCCGAGTGCTCTGGCCCATGCCTTTTATGTGCGAGACCTGGATGTAGTCCAGGCTCTTTGCTTCAGCCTGGCCCGGCCCAGGTCATTATGACAATTTGAGGAGCAAACAGTAGATGGAAGATATCTTTCTCTCTGTACCTCGCATTGGGAGATTCCAAGTTCCTGGCTTTGGTCTGGCCTAGCCCCAGCCACTTCAACCATTTGAGAAGCGGACCAGCAGACGGAAGATAACTTCCTTTCCCTTTCTCTTTAGTCTTTCTAATAAATATTCTTCTTTAAAGTTTTTAAATCAAAGCTGGAGCCATGTAGTAAGTTAAACTTCCACTTTTGGCGCCAGCATCCCATATGGGCATTAGTGCTGCTCCACTTCTGATCGAGCTCCCTGCTTATGGCCTGAGAAGGTAGCAGAGGACGGCTCACTTCCTCAGTCCATGAACCCACGTGGGTGAGCTGCAAGAAGCTCCTGGCTCCTAGCTCTGGACTGGTCCAGCTCTAGCAGATGTGACCAATTGGGGAGTTAACCAGGAGATGGCAAATCTCTTTCTCTGCAACTCTTTCAAGTGAAATAAATATTTAACAACAACAGCAACAAAAAGAATGAAATAAATATATTAAAAACTTTTAAAGGCATCTGTCTCTGTCTTATGTGCTGTGGTAGTATGTCTACTACATGCTATGCAGTTATTCCTAATGAAATACCCATTTATACATCAAGTATGACAATAAACACATTATCACTAGTCTTACAGAAAATGTGCTACATATCAGTCTTCCTTAGTCTTATCTTTAAACAACAAAAAACCTTGAGGCTGCCCTGCTCCTCTGTGGCTGAGCTGAAAGGGGACTCGGCTCATGGCGCGGCAGAGCCCATGCTCTTTCCATGAGCTTGGTGTTTCGATTTGTTTCACAATCAATCACATTGCTTCATGCTTATACAATGCAGGGTCTTGAACTAAGGTGATCTCAAACAAGAATAATCCAATGCAGTGAAAGATCAGTTTCAATCATCTGTAAATCAATGATGACTTTGTGTTTCCCAGTAAAGGTCTCTTCCTTCATTTATTTAAATGAGTGCTGTGCCATAAAGCTGCTTGTACTGAGCAGCAATCACGCAAGCTTCGGCTTAAAGCCTTTAGAAGACATTTACAGGCCCAGTGCGGTAGCATAGCGGCTAAAGTCCTCGTCTTGCACGCACCAGGATCCCATATGGATGCCAGTTCTAATCCCCACGGCCCCGCTTCCCATCCAGTTCCCTGCTTGTGGCCTGGAAAAGCAGTCAAAGATGACCCAAAGCCTTGAGACCCTGCACCCTTATAGGAGACCCAGAAGAAGCTCCTGGTTCCCGGCTTCAGATTGGCTCAGTTCCGGTCCCTGTGGCCACTTGGAGAGTGAATCATCAGAAGAAGATCTTCCTGTCTGTCTCTCCTCCTCTCTGTATATTTGAGTTTCCATTAAAAAACTAATAAGTCTTTAAAAAAAAAAAAAGTCATTTACATTTCTTCCCTGCTGTACCCAGAGGGCCCAACTCAGTGTCTGGCCTAGAGTAGACCTCAAGACAAATATCCTAAATCCTAGTCCCACCAAATCTTGTTTACTAAAATACAAATAAGGAAGACACCATTCCAATGAGATACTTCATTATCTGAAATTTTGTGCCTAAAATTAGACATGGGAGTCACTGGGATATCCTGTCTCCTTTAGGGCATTCTCCTCCAGGTCAAACGGCACTATCATCATCAACAACAAGTCATTATCCAACACCCCAATAGTTGTTTAGCAAGGTAACTCCATATGCCTTCCTTCCCAACCATGTTTAACAAGCCACAAGGCCACAGTTCCTGTCCAAACAGGCTAGCTTGGTGTGTGTGTGATGAAGACAACACAGAGACACAAACGACACATCATGAAGCAGCTTTTCCAACTTCAACACACACAAAGGCCTCTGGTGTCTGGCCTCCCCTGTCAGACTCACTGCCTGACACCTCTTCCTGGAGCTGTGAAACTGCGGTTATAATTTCTTCTTCCTTATCCTTCTCAGTCACTTGCCCACAGTTGAGAAAAATGCATTTTCCTCAACGTCTACTATACTTATTCTCACTTCATTTTAAAGATATATTTTATTCCCCAAGGACTCACTGAGTCTCTCAGCACATACTGAAACAATTTCTCTTAAAAAAAAAAAACAAAACACTATGTTCATAAAGGGAACATGTGATACCAGGGGAAATACCAGGGTGACAAAATTGGGTTCTGTCCCACTGCCTTACCTGCCCATGTGACTTGGGCACGTCATTTATCCTCTCTAGATTTTAAGTTCTTCACCACAAACTGAGTTGAACCAAATCAGAGCTTATTTATCTAGTTCCAGAAAACCTTGAAAGCTCTGCATTTTAGGGGTTTATACCTCTCCCCACACACATAAAAATTATCTTGGGACCAGCGCTGTGGGGTAGCTGGTAAAGCATCCATGACACTAGCATCCCACATGGTTCAAGTCCTGCCTGCTCCACTTCCAACCCACCTCCCTGCTAACGCACCTGGAAAAGCAGCAGAGGACAGCCCTCTGTTAGGCCCCTAAACCCATGTGGACGACCCAGAAGAAGCTCCTGGCTTTGTACCAGCCCAGCTCTGATCACTGTTGCAAACTGGGGAGCAAACCAGCAAAAGGAAGTCCCTCTCTTACTCTCTTGTCCTCTCTATTTCTCTGTGTAACTCTGCCTTTCAAATAAATAAATATTTTAAATGTCTCTGTAGATACAAATTTTTCTGAATATGTATGGCTGCATTCAATTATCACACAAGATGCAGCCCCTAAAATAACCACAGTTTGTGCTTCATTGTTGCTTTATTCACCAGGCATGTGCTAGGTCCTTCCAACAGATTAACTCACACATGGGGGCAAGGTCATAGTACAACATCTGAAGCAGCTACCACATGTTGACAACTACATCCTGTAAGGAGGACCAGCCTTGGTTCTGGCTCTTCTGCTTCCATTCCACCTTCCTGCTGATCATCCTGGGAGTAGGATCTTGGCTCAAGGACTTCAGCCCCTGCCACCCACATAGGAAACCAGGATAGAGTTCCTACTTCCTGGCTTCTGCTCCGTCCACACCTGGCTCCTGCAGTCATGTGGGGGAGTCAACCAGCAGATGGAATCTCTCTGTGTGTCATTCTGCCTTTCAAATAAATAATAAATAAATTCTTAATCCCCTGTGCTGATCAACCAACTTCAGTCGCACTCCTAACTCTTCAGCAAACAGCCAGACTCAGAACTCTTGCCGGAACACTTCCTGAAGAAAGACTGTCATCCGTTGTAGTATAGAATCCGCAGGCATCTCCAGCTCCTGCCTCCCATGCTTTCTCCTTTATAAAGTGGTGAATAATAATATCCAAAAAATGTATCTGAATTGAACTACTAAATGAAGCCCAAGATCCAGCAGGAAATAAAACAGTGTTATCGAGGACAAAGAGGACGCAAAGGCAGCCACTCACGCCAGCCAAAGGGTACATCCTCTGAAAGCCTAGGTGTCCCTTGTTGATGGGCAATTTACCACCCTACCTCCTGAACGCCACCAAGCACCGAGAAGCCAAGACCTGCATTATTCTCCACCTGAGACATACAAGGGCTGGTGATGGTGTTAGTCACCAACCCCAGACTGGGACAAGGAGTGAAAAACAAACAGTGGGGAAAAGCACCTTGCCCCCAATTTTTGCAGTCACCTGTTCCCACAACCTGCAGTCCTCATGCAGGAGCCAGGAGCTATCCAGCTACTGGCTGAAAACTGTCTTACCCCTGACTACAGAGCGATGCAACACTGCTGCAAAGCAGAAGCAGACCTTTGTGGTGGTTTTCACAGGGTGTCAAAAAACCAACAACTATTCTTTAGTGGGAGGCTGCGGAAACTTTATCCCAGCCCTTCTGACCTTTCTCCAAATGATCTGTGTAGTGACAAGAGATGCAAAGAGGGGGTAGGAAGGCAGTTCAGAAGACGGGCCCTTGGGGTGCAGGCAGGGCTCACAGCTTTTTTTTTTCAAGCGTGATGCAACAGGGTCAAACACAAGAGCAGGAAGAGCTGCGAGGTTCAGGGAAGGAGAAAACTCAGTGTCAGCGTTGGAAACGCCAGAAGGAAGCGGGTTCTGAAGGACTGGGTGGCAGGGTCATACAGAACCAGCAGGGAGGTAGATTAGGGTCTGAGAGAGAGGAAGCAGGGGACCGGCTGGTGCGGCGGGTCAGGAGGCGGGCTGGGCCGGGCGGGGCGTGGGGCAGGGAAGAGGCAGTCAGAAGGACGGTGGCCAGTCCAGGCAAAGCAAGCAGAGGGAACCCAGCAGGGGCGGATAGGAAGCGGAGCACCAAGGGACACCCAGGAGTGGGCCGGGTAACCTGCACTGGCTGTGGAAACCTAGGAGGGGACAGCAGGCCAGGAGAGAACCTTCAGGGATGGGAGGGGTCCCGAGAAGGGGGAAGAGAAGTGAGGGTAGGGAGGGGGAACCAGGGGCACCCTGGATCCCGACGGCGCAGAGCAAAGGAAGATTGAGGGGTGGCAACGGTCGGCACCAGCGGACGCCGGAGGAAACAGTCCAGGCTCCAGTTGGGGCGGCAGCCGCCCCGGGGGCCCGGGCTCGGAAGGGTCCTGAAGACTAGGGAGAGGTCACAGAGGGGCACCGGGAAGGACTCCGGGTCTGCTGGGGTCGGTGTTGGCGCTCTCACCGGGACAGGTGCTTCAGGATCTGCTTCTTAATGATCCCGGCCATGCCGAGGCCGCGGCCCGCGTGGAAGGCAGGGAGCAGCGGTGGCCTCCTGGGTCCTGAAGAACAGAGGCGGTCCTCCTCTCAGCTCGCCGCCGCCCGGGCACCGGATGCGGCAGCCACCGCAGCCGCCATGGCGCTCGCTCGCCCCTGCCCCGGCGCCCGGAGCTCCGCCGCGATCCCACCCACCCGCGCGCGCCACGCCGCGGCCGCCCGCCCGAGCGCCGCGTAGCCCGGCGAAGGGGCGGGACGCACGGCGCGGAGGCGGGCGCCGGCCGCTTCCCCCGCCCTCCCATCTGTCTCTCAGCCCGCGGGGTCCAGGAGATTGCACCTCGAAACTGCACGAGGTTCCCGACCCCCCAAGGACGCTGAAGGTTGGGGGAGAGGGCGGGAACGCGGGTGATTGTAAGTTAATTCGTTAGATAATTGCTCATCTCCTCGCCTACTGGATCCATATCATATTCATTTACCCGTGAACCTTACTTTTCTTTTTTTTGGTTGAGTATTAATTATATATTCCATTCTGAGTAGGAAAAAGTCACTTCAGGCACCTTCAGTCTCACAAACTGGCTGAGCCTTGGAAACAACACAGCTATCAGCTGCCAGAGGCTTCCTGCTGAGGAGGTGAGCCGGGTCACCTGGCGGTGCCAAGTGTGCCTCGCCTTGGCCCGTTAGCTATCAAGCAAATGTTGACTCCAGACCTAAGACGAGGGGCGGGCCTTTGGCCAGTTAAGTCACCGCCTGGGACAACGAGTCCCTTATCAGCAGTGTCTGATCCTGCTTCAATTCATTCAACTGCCTGTCATTGCCTCCTGGAAGGTAACAGAGAGGTCCCCAAGCTTGGGCTCCTGCCACCCACATGAAAGTTCCAGTTAGAGTCCAGGCTCCCGACTTCCCCTGGGCCAGCCCCTGGTGCTGGAGACATTAGGGAGTCAATCAGTGGATGGGAAAAAAAAAATAAAAGGATCTTACTGGAATTTATATAAGAGTTGTTTTAAAAGCGTATAACTACCCCCAGCTAAAGGCAACTGCCTCGGTTGCCTTGTACCCAAGTAAGTGTTACACAGCTAGGAGAAAAGTCAATAGCTGGTGGGCATTCTTTTTTTTTTTTTTTTTTTTTCTTTTTCATTGGAAAGGCGGATATACAGAGAGGAGAGACAGAGGAAGATCTTCCATCCGTTGATTCACTCCCCAAGTGAGCACAACGGCCAATACTATGCCGATCCGAAGCCAGGAGCCTCTTCCGGGTCTCCCACGCGGGTGCAGGGTCCCAAGGCTTTGGGCTGTCCTCCACCGCTTTCCCGGGCCACAGGCAGGGAGCTGGAAGGGAAGCGGGGCTGCCGGGATTAGAACCGGCGCCCATATGGGATCCCGGGCGTGCTAGGCAAGGACCTTAACCACTTGCGCCACCGCGCCGGGCCCAGGTGGGCATTCTTTTTAAAGATTTATTTTGGGGCCGGGCGCGGTGGCGCAAGTGGTTAAAGGTCCTCGCCTTGCACGCCCGGGATCCCATATGGGCGCTGGCTCTAATCCCAGCAGCCCCGCTTCCCTTCCAGCTCCCTGCCTGTGGCCTGGGAAAGCAGTTGAGGACGGCCCAAAGCTTTGGGAACCTGCACCCACGTAGGAGACCCGGAAGAGGCTCCTGGCTTCAGATCTGCATAGTATCGACCGTTGCGCTCACTTGGGGAGTGAATCATCGGATGGAAGATCTTCCTCTCTGTCTCTCCTCTCTGTATATCCGCCTTTCCAATGAAAAAATAATAAAAATAAATCTTTAAAAAAAAAGATTTATTTTGTATTGGAAAGTCAGATATACAGAGAGGAGAGGCAGAAAGGAAGATCTTCCATCTGCTGAGTCACTCCCCAAGCGGCCACAACGGCTGGAGCTGAGCCAATCCAAAGCCAGGATCAAGGAGCTCTTCCTCCAGGTCTCCCACACGAGTTCCCAAGGCTTTGCGCTGTCCTCAACTGCTTTCCCAGGCCACAAGCAGGGAGCTGGATAGGAAGTGGGGTGTCGGGATTAGAACCGGCGCCCATATGAGATCCCAGGCATGCAAGGTGAGGACTTTAACTACTACACTATCGCGCCGGGCCCAAAAGTAAATAAATCTTAAAAAAAAAAAAAAAAAGTGAACGTGCAGTGGATTCTGGAGATATTTCACCGTGCTTGGAATGGTGAGATGGACAGCAATTCATAATTGTTGAACTCTCAAAAGCACTTGAGCAGGACCCTTGGAGCATGCCCCACGTAGGCGGCATCACTGAACTCAGAACTCCAACCACAAAGAGAGGTTCCATGGTTTGATCGTGGTGTACATGCATCAAAGTTGGGCCTCCTCAGTGGCTTAGATGGAGCAGTGGACAGTATAACCAGTTGCACATGGAGGATATGGCAGTCCACTGGCGCTTGCAGAGGACACCTGGTACCATAACAGAAGATGGAGGATAGAAAAAAATCAATCAACTACCCAGTCAAGCGTTGGCAGTGAATAGCTGGGCAAGCAGAGACCCTCAGAGGGACTATGCCAGCCAGTGGAGTCCAGAGAGATTTCATCGTGACTGGAGTGGTGAGATCAGCAGCAATTCAGAACTGTTGCACTATCAAAACCATTTGAGCAGGACCCTCGAAGCATGCCCTGGGATGGCACTGGGTGGCTGTCCCCCATCTTAGGGTATGCAGACAGAAGCCAGGTGTGGATTCTCCCTTTATCTCTCCCCTTCCCCCAGATACAGGAAGGAAAAAAAAGACAATGTGGAAATAATGATCTCACCCATCTTCCTGTAGCCCTTGACCCTCTGTACCCCAATTAACTATGTAAAAATCATAAAAAGAAAGAAACACCTCAGGAATTCTGCCTTCAGTTCTGAGTTCCTTGAACAGATCTGCCTGCCCTCTTCCCCTCTCAGAGACGAATTAGCCTTGTCCTGTGTGCACTGACGAGAGGGTGGTCAGGGTTTTCAGCTGCTGACTAGACATAAGCACAGGAAAAAGCACATCTATTTTATCTTTCTGGAAGCAGAAGTCCACACTCCTTTAAACTTCCTATTTTGAAGAAATTATAAATGCAAGCCAAGTTTTGAATAGCAGTCTCACATACTTTTCGCCCTGATTCCCTCAATGACCGCACAGTACAGAGAGCAGGAAGCTGAGATGTGTGCCTATGATCCTGCTCTTCTATCACATGTCTAGAATTGCACAACCATTGCCATATCAGGAGTCAAAACCATCACACCGTGCACCAACTCCTGGCACCAGCCCTCACCCCTGGGAACTACTCCTTTCTTCTTTCCCATAATGTTGTCAGATACAGGAGGAGGAAAATGCAGTCTGGCTTTTTTTTCAGACTTTTTTTTTTTTTTTTGCATTCAACATACTGTTCTTGAGATTCGTCCAAGTTGTGTCATTAATAACTGTTATTCAGATTCCACAATTCCTGTATTTTAAAAACATTTCATGACGACTGTTTCAGACACAGTAGCTTTAGTCACCTTTCTGACAAGAGGACCCCAATTTTGCGTAATTAAACACTCACGTGCACATCCTGAACAAGAGGACAGACACTAAACTCTAAGGACATCTGTGCAACGAGGAGCGACGTTCTAGCAAAAGCCCACAGCACGAGACTGAGCAGACTCCTTATTAATATATAGCATAACAGAATATAAAGGAGTCTTGCCTGTTTCTCCTTTGTGGGGATGGGTAACAAAAGGACACACATTTAAAGTTCATATATAATTGAAGTTCTGACAAATAGCCCCCGTGTGAAATCCTTACAAGGATAATGCACATAACCACCACTCAGCATTTCCCGTTGTCAGCTGTGCTGCCCTCTCTGCTGCCCCCCACTACAAGCGCACCCCCACTGCAGGCAGAGTCCTTGCTGGCTGACTCTTCTGCTGCCCAAGCATGTGCACGGATGTTACCCCCAACCACCACCACTCCCTTCTTCCTTCCTGCCAGTCATTGCCACTCATCTGGCATGCTCAGTCCCCTTACCGGCCTTGTTTTTCATGTCACATAACATTCAACATCAGTATTTTTTTTAACTGCCTGACTTCCCTTTTAAAATATAAGCTCCTTAAGAGAAAGGACTTTCTTTATACTGCCTTAAAACATTTTTTTATTTATTTTGGAGTCTGTTGTCATGACTCAACAGCCTAATCCTCTACACCTCTACTTTCAAACTCTGGTATCCCATATGGATGCCAGTTCGTGTCCTGGATGCTTCATTTCCCATCCAGCATCCTGCTTGAGATCTGGGAAAGCAGTCGAGGATGGCCCAAAACCTCGGGACACTGCACCTGTGTGGGAGACATGGAAGAAGCTCCTGGCTTTAAATCAGCTCAGCTCTGGCCACTGCAAACATTTGCAGGAATGAACCAGTGGATGGAAGCTCTTTGTCTCTCTTCTCTAAATCTGCCTTTCAAATAAAAATACACATTTTAATTTTTTTAAAGATTTATTTTTACTGGAAAGTCAGATATACAGAGAGGAAGACAGAGAGGAAGATCTGCTGTTTGTTGATTTACTCACCAAGCGGCCTAAACGGCCAGAGCTGTGTCGATCTAAAACTAGGAGCCAGGAGTCTCTTCTGGGTCTCCCACATGGGCACAGGGTCCCAAGACTTTGGGCCATCCTCGACTGCTTTCCCAGGCCACAAGCAGGGAGCTGGATGGGAAGTGGGGCTGCTGGGATTAGAACCAGCACCTTTATGGGTCCCAGCGCATGCAAGGCGAGGACCTTAGCCACTAGGCTGCTATGCCAGGGCCCTAAATAGACCTTTTTAAAAATATCAAGAGCTATTTTTACTTGAAAATCAGAGATCTTCCATCCGCTGGGTTCACTTCCAAATGGCTGCAACAGCCAATGCTGAGCAGGTCTGAAGACAGGGACCATCAGATTTTTTCAGGCCTCCCATTGTGAGTGCAGGGCCCTAGTGAGTGCAGGGAGCTAGATCTAAAGTACAGCCACAAGGATCGAACTGGCACCCATATGGGTTGCTAGCACCACAGCAAAGGATTAGGCTGCCTCCCCACCATGGCAGCCTGCTTTGTTAACTCTTGTGTCTTCATCGCGTAGAACAGTGCAGGCACTCCGAGCGGCTTCTCCAGATGAGG